TGGCCCCCTGAGTGGGCTCTTCCACAAACTACCACGTGCAGGCCGCACGTACAGTGCAATGGAAACTTCGTGGCCCATGCGCAGAGGCCGGCTCCCGGCTGGGAGGGCCTATTTTGAAGAAGTGGCGTTAGAAGAAGTGGGGGGTGGCGGTCGGAAGGTTGAAGGGAGACGGGAGAGCAGCCCGCGATTCATGCACGGGCTGGAAGGGGTCGCCCTCAGCGAACTACCTCAATCAGACTGAGGACGTTTTTAGCAAAGGCCAGCTTAGGAGGACCCTCATTCAGTTAATGACAACGTACCTCCCTGTGTAGCTTAAGTTTAAAAAATTTGGCTCGCAAAAGAAATTTCAGTCGTTGTTCTGATATTCGGCTCTGTCGACCGATGAGTCTGCCCACCGCTGGGCTAGGTCACCGGGAACACAAAACACGTCCCCGGGGGGTAAACGGTGCCACCTCGTGGCCACAGCACAACGCAGCTTCCGGTGTGTTCGCGGCTCCGGGGGCTCCCTGACCATTCAGGGGCGCCTCCCCTCCGCCAGGAGCTCCAAGCTCTGCAGAGGCTTGCAACTCGGGAGGCAGGGGCTCCCCGGGCCTCTCCTGGGCCACTGCGGCCTCAGCCCCGCAGCCCCGCTGGCTGCCCGAGGCGGCGACTCCTTCCCGCGGTGGCTGGTCCGCCTCTTCTGTCCGGAGCGCTCCGGCCCCGCTGTCCCAGCTTCACCCACCCGGACGCCGCCCGCACCCTGTCCCGCGGTCCCTGTCCCAGCTTCACCCACCCGGACGCCGCCCGCACCCTGTCCCGCGGTCCCTGTCCCAGCTTCACCCACCCGGACGCCGCCCGCACCCTGTCCCGCGGTCCCTGTCCCAGCTTCACCCACCCGGACGCCGCCCGCACCCTGTCCCGCGGTCCCCGTCCCAGCTCTGACAGACAGACGTCTCTCTACCCACCCGGACGCCTGTCCTGCGGGAGTCAGGGGCCCCGCACCCACCCTGCGCTGGCAGACCCGCCTCGGTCCGGGTGCCACCTTGCACCCCCCTCCATCATCCCGGTCCCCTCTTCCTTCTGTGTCTTAGCTTCGCCCTCTCTCCTGATACTTCCCCGCACTTTAAAAAGGTTCAAGTCTTTCCTGTTAAAAAATAAAGAAACATGTCCCTCAACTCCGGTTTCCCTCTGGCTGCAGTCCCTTCTTTCTTGAGGACACGGGACTGATTGCTTAGAACAAAGGAAAAACAGTCCCGGAGGGGATCCACACTGAGTTCCACGTCGGAGGAAAGCTCTGTGCTTCAGAGGCTCGATCACGCGGCTGATTCGGCCGCGGAACCAGCGCTTCAAACTTGGCTGCAGCTGCTTCGTGGGAAGCCCCGGAGCCCGACTCCACTAACAGCCCTTTCCCGGGAGCGCACTTCCGCCGCCGGCCGGGTCCTCCGAGGGCGCTGCTGTGAAGCTGGCCGGGCGCGGGGGCCGCTCTAGCCCGCCCACTCGGTGGCGGGCGCGGGGGCCGCTCTAGCCCGCCCGCTCGGTGGCGGGCGCGCGCGGCGGAGATGCTGCAGGTGCGGCCCGGGCTGTACCTGGGCGGAGCGGCCGCCGCGGAGCCGGGCCGCCTGCGAGAGGCGGGCGTCACGGCCGTGCTGACGGTGGACGCGGAGGAGCCCGACCTCCAGGTGAAGGGCCTGCGGCGGCTCTTCGTGCCTGCACTGGACGAGCCCGAGACCGACCTGCTGAGCCACCTGGGCCGCTGCGTGGCCTTCCTGGGCCAGGCCCGCGCCGAGGGCCGCGCGGCGCTGGTGCACTGGTGAGCGGGCGGGTGGGCGGCGTTGGTGCAGTGGTGAGCGGGAGTGCGGGCGGCGCTGGTGCAGTGGTGAGCGGGAGTGCGGGCGGCGCTGGTGCAGTGGTGAGCGGGAGTGCGGGCGGCGCTGGTGCAGTGGTGAGCGGGAGTGCGGGCGGCGCTGGTGCAGTGGTGAGCGGGAGTGCGGGCGGCGCTGGTGCAGTGGTGAGCGGGAGTGCGGGCGGCGCTGGTGCACTGGTGGGCGGGTGGGCGTGCGGGCGGCGCTGGTGCAGTGGTGAGCGGGCGGGTGGGCGGCGCTGGTGCAGTGGTGAGCGGGCGGGTGGGCGGCGCTGGTGCAGTGGTGAGCGGGCGGGTGGGCGACGCTGGTGCACTGGTGAGCGGGCGGGCGGGTGGGCGGCGCTGGTGCACTGGTGGGCGGGTGGGCGGGCGGCGCTGGCGCACTGGTGGGCGGGTGGGCGTGCGTGCGGCGCTGGTGCACTGGTGAGCGGGCGGGCGGGTGGGCGTGGGGGCGGCGCTGGTGCAGTGGTGGGCGGGTGGGCGGCGCTGGTGCACTGGTGGGCGTGCGGGTGGGCGGGCGGTGCTAGTGCACTGGTGGGCGTGCGTGCGTGCGTGCGTGCGTGCGGCGCTGGCGCACTGGTGGGCGTGCGGGTGGGCGGGCGGTGCTAGTGCACTGGTGGGCGTGCGTGCGTGCGTGCGTGCGGGCGGCGCTGGCGCACTGGTGGGCGTGCGGGTGGGCGGGCGGTGCTAGTGCACTGGTGGGCGTGCGTGCGTGCGTGCGTGCGGCGCTGGTGCACTGGTGGGCCGGCGTGCGTGCGTGCGTGCGGCGCTGGTGCACTGGTGGGCCGGCGTGCGTGCGCGTGCGGGCGGGCGGTGCTAGTGCACTGGTGGGCGTGCGTGCGTGCGTGTGTGCGGGCAGCGTTCGTGCACTGGTGGGCGGGCGTAGGGCGGCGGGCGGCCCTGCCCGCGTTCACTCAACGGTTCCATGAGTTCCTTTTGCAGCCTTTTTTTTTCCTTTTAATGTTTTTATTTTTAAAGAGAGAGGGAGGGAGAGGGAGAGAGAGAAACATCTATGAGAATCATCGATGGGCTGCTTCCTGCACGCTCCCCATCGGCCTGAGCCTCGACCTCCTGGTTCCCGGCCCCGTCAAGGCTGGGCCTTTGCAGCTCCTCTGTTTGGGCGGGGGGTGCAGGCGGGAGTGAGAGTGCTGGGGGGCGATCGTCAGGTGGACAGACAGGGCCCCGGCGGTACCTGGCGCCGCGGGTGCACGGGCAGCGCCGGCTCCCGGAGGAGCGTGTTCGGGCGCCGGGGACGTGTGGCTGGTGCAGCGGAGTCGGGGAGAGACGCGTGGATTAGGACCCTCGGACCCCGAGCCTTGCTCAGGGGAAGGAGCAGGCGGCCGCAGAGGCGGAAAGAGTGGCCTGGGGATGGCATGTAATAACCACAGCTTAAATTCTTGGCGGCAGAGCAGCAGGCAGTGATAGGAAAGCCGACTGAGACCAGATCTGGGGCCCTTCGTGCCAAGAGCAAAGGAGTCTGGCGTTGTTCCGAAGCATAAAATCTTAGATTCCGTAGATCCTATTTGGGTGTGTAAGACATTCACATGGTTCAGAATTTAAGAAGAATAAGGAAATAAAGGAATAATTATTTTGCACACGGGTAGTATTTCAGAAGCAAAGAGTTTGAAGCAGAACTTGACCATTAGAGGGGCTGAGGTTTTTGTTTGTGTGCTTTTTGTTTTAATTGCTATTTGCTGTTTTAAGTCATGCAGGAGTCAGCCGCAGTGTGGCAGTAATGACTGCTTTTCTGATGAAGACTGACCAACTTACCTTTGAAAAAGCCTATGAAAACCTCCAGACTATCAAACCAGAGGCCAAGTGAGTTCTTTGTTAGAGTAATCATTCTGTTTTTGTGATTTTACTTATTTCAAGAAAACTTAACTTTGTTTGTCTTTACAGGATGAATGAGGGTTTTGAGCGGCAACTGAAATTATACCAGCTCATGGGATGCGAAGTCGATACCTGTAGTGCAATTTATAAGCAATATCGTTTGCAAAAGGTTACAGAGAAGTATCCGGGTGAGTAATAATCGCTCTTCTGTACTGGGACCTTTCTAGATGCTATTTACTCTGACACCAAGCACCGCAGGTGTATTATCTCACTTTCCCAGCAACCCCTTGAGACAGGTCCTTTATTTCCTTTTGAAACTGTGGTTTAGCAAGAAATACCTTGTTCAGGGTCACATGGCTTGTGAGTGGTGGGTCTGGGATTTGAACTCAGGCAGTCTGCCCAGAACCCAAGGGATCTCCTCCCACATCCTACCTTTCCAACACTGGGTGCTTTTAAAAACATTTCTGAGGTTAGCACTTGTTGCCTCAGTTTGACATTAACTGAATTTTGTCTGAAAGTGCAGAGTGTAACCAGTAGACACATTGTCATTGTCATGCAGAACTGCAGAGCTTACCTCAGGAACTCTTTGCTGTTGACCCCACCATGGTTCCACAAGGATCGAAAGAGGAGGTTCTCTACAAATGTAGAAAGTGCAGGTAAAATATTTCCTATTTTCTGGAGATTTTATCTTGTCTCAGCAGCTGAAAAGTACTGAAAGTTTCAGTTTATTAAATCTCTGTAGGGAGAATTTGTTTAGTTGAATACTATAGACATTTCAAATTCAAATCTGCTTCCAAGAATGTAAATTCTTAGTAGTAAAGCAATCAAGTTACTTGTAGAGACTACTGAAAAGTAAAGTAGCCCTTTAAGAAATAGCTGCACATTTCATCTATTTTTTTTTTAATTACTTTGGAAGTCATTAATGCTTTTGTTTGTTTGGAGGCTGCAGGAGGTCTTTATTTCGAAGTTCGAGCATTTTGGATCATAATGAAGGAAGTGGCTCCATAGCCTTTGCCCACAAGAGACGGGCACCATCCCTCGTGCCTGTCACAGGGAGTCGGGCTCAGTGCACATCCTATTTCATTGAACCTGTGCAGTGGATGGAACCCGCCCTGCTGGGAGTGATGGATGGGCAGGTGAGGACACACCTGATTTTCTAGTTTCATTAAATCATCTATCTTTTATTCCTTGTTGCATTTTAAACCATATTTTTCTAGTGTTTTACTCCATCTTAACTACTTTCTTTCTGAAGATTATATCTTTTTAGTGTAGACAAGAATCTATCAAAAATTAAACAAAAACCAGCTGTTCTAAAATAGTGAACCACTCTGCATGGGTTTGGGTTGATGGCAGGCCCGTCCCCCGGGGTCTCTCATAGGTCCCAGGCCAGAGCAAGCTGTGGTCTCGAACCATTGCCTGGCCTCTGCCCGTAGGCTGCAGGCACTGAAGCAGGTTGCACAGTGGAAAAAATAAATAAAATAAAATAAATAAAAAGTGAAACACTTTTGACTGAGAGGTGTTGGTCTAAGTTAGTTCTTTTTAGTGCTAAAAATACATTAGAAGAAAATACAGTAGACTTGTTAAGCATTTTTGGACTTATCTATTTTACTAGAGTATTAGTTTGTTTTGTTTTTAAATAGGCAGGAATCTGAGGCCTAACTATAGGCTCTGAATATCAGAAACAGAACATGAGAATCCTAACATGCTTTCCTACCTTTAGCTTTGATTGTTTTGGTTTGAAATCTTAAGCTGCAGACTGATTGAAAAGTCAGCACGCATGCCACATCTGTGAAACATTCTACTCCATGTCTTAAGCTTCACCTTTCCCCCTGGTGCTGGAATTAATCTGTTCCTCTTGAACCTGCTAGGGTACAACATCCTTCTTATTCTTTTTTTTTTAAAATATATTTTATTGATTTTTCACAGAGAGGAAGGGAGAGAGATAGAGAGTTAGAAACATCGATGAGAGAGAAACATCGATCAGCTGCCTCCCGCACATCTCCAACTGGGGATATGCCCGCAACCCAGGTACATGCCCCTGACCGGAATCGAACCTGGGACCCTTCAGTCCGCAGGCCGACGCTCTGTCCACTGAGCCAAACCGGTTTCGGCCATCCTTCTTATTCTTAACACAGCTGTTGTAGTAAATTGCTATCCCATTGCATCCATCGATTAGATCTGAACTTCTTGAAGGTGGGGCCCAGGTCCTGTTTCTATATTCTTTTTTTTAAACAAATATATTTCTTTATTGATTTCAGAGAGGAAGGGAGAAGGAGAGAGATAGAAACATCAATGATGAGAGAGAATCACTGATTGGCTGCCTCCTGCACACCCCACACTGAAGATGGAGCCCACAACCCAGGCATGTGCCCTTGGCCGGAATCGAACCCGGGACCCTTCAGTCTGCAGGCCGATGCTCTATCCACTGAGCCAAGCCGGCTAGGGCTTGTTTCTATATTCTTTGTTGCCAAAGATAATTGTTGTGTACAAAAGTGAATGAATGAATTAGGGAATTTGCTTTTTTTTCAGCTTCTGTGCCCCAAATGCAATGCCAAGTTGGGTTCTTTCAACTGGTATGGTGAGCAGTGCTCCTGTGGTAGGTGGATAACTCCTGCTTTTCAAATCCATAAGAACAGAGTGGATGAAACGAAAGCGCTGCTGGTTCTGGGATCACAAACGAGAAAAATGTGAACTTGTGACATTTGATATCTGAAAAAGAAACTTGCTGGATGGTACATGCTACTTGCTTCTCATCGTTCACACGGCATCCTGGTGTTTAGACTGTCAGCGTTTCATTGGAAATGTGAGAAGATGCACTCACTTGATGTGCCTTGGACACTGTTTAAGTATAAAGACTACTTCATATGGAAATAAAAACTTTTTCCCTCCTAAGTCCTTACCCAAGGATACTTTTTTTTTATTGATTTGGGAGAGAGAGAAACATTGATGTGAGAGAGGAACATCAATTGGTTGTCTCCATACGAGCCCTGACTGGGGATCAAACCTGAAACCTGGGTATGTGCTCTGACCGGGAATCAAACCCTTGACCCTTCAGTGCACAGAACAGTGCTCCAACCAATTGAGCCAGGGCTCAAAACCTCTTCATCATGTAAATTACACTTTATTTGATATTAAAATCTATAACCCAGATACTTCCTCTATTTCATGTATTTTAAAGAGTTCTGGTTTTGAGAATGTTAGTTATGTGATCTTAAGATCTGGATGAACAAAAGTACGTAAAAAAATTAGAAACTATCATATTTAAATAGAGATATTCTTTTATTTCTAGAAATCTATTTTTAGAGATATTAGTAAATCTACATGTCTGGATTTTTCTTGCAAATGTAGATGGAAAGGCTATGAGGAAAACACTGACTATGGTGTAGTTTTCTGTCACTGTTCAGGAAGTCCAGGTATCTAAAATTTTAGAAAAGTGTGTTTAAGACTCCTTTTTAAAAAAAAAATGTTTTTATTGATTTTAGAAAGAGGAAGGGTTAGGGAGAGAAACATCAATTTGGTTGCCTACCACACATGCCAGGGATCAAACCTGCTACCCAGGTACGTGCCTTTGGACAGGAATCCAACCTGAAACCCTTCAGGGAGCAGGCTCTGCTCTAACCAATGTGCCACACTGGTCAGGGCAATTAGAGCTTTTTAAGGTACAAGATTGCTGTATAAAAATCAATAATTACTCTACCCCAGGAGTAACTGAATTAAAAAATTGTAAATCAAGACTGTAAAACTATTAAAAGGAAATTAAAAAAGATCTTGACCTCAGGAGTGGGAAGGGTTTCTTTAGCAAGATACAGAAAGCAGAGATCACAAACAAAAAGGATGGATAAATGTGACGTCACTGAAATGAAAACTCACAGGATAAAAACTCCATAAACAAAGACAAGTGTTGGCCTAGAACAGTGATGGCGAACCTATGACATGCGTGTCAGAGGTGACACGCGAACTCATTTTTTTGGTTGATTTTTCTTTGTTAAATGGCATTTAAATATATAAAATAAATATCAAAAATATAAGTCTGTTTTACTATGGTTGCAAATATCAAAAAATTTCTGTATGTGACACGGCACCAGAGTTAAGTTAGGGTTTTTCAAAATGCTGACACGCCGAGCTCAGAAGGTTCGCCATCGCTGGCCTAGAGGCTCTCTGTAGCATATGCACCAGTGAAATGAACAGTCAGCCGTCGAGAGGTACACATGATTGAGAGAAAGGAAATTCAACAGCAAGTTTTATAAAAGATAGGAATGGGACATTCCCAGGAGAGGAAATAAGGTTTAATAAACACAAAAAGGATGCCTCATGACTTTGTCAGAAAAATGTAAATTATAGACACCTTTCACAAAGGTGTCTTTGCAAAGAGCAAAGGGAACCCGTCACTGCTAGCCAGGGAGTAAATTGGTGTAATTTGGCAAATATTAATGCTCCTCTATGACCTGGCATATGTCTTAGACATGCTTGCACATGTAAATAAGGAGACTCACACAAATTGAAACAATTTAAATGTCCATCAGGGAAAGGACAAATAGTTATATATATATTTAATTTTCAAATAAATACTAAAAACAGTTCAAACACATACCAAAAAGTAATGTTGAATGACTTGGAAAATAGAGTACAATACTTTTATGTATATTAAAAACCCCAAACAACACTAAGTGTATGTATCTACAAACATTTAAATATGTAAAATAAAAAATAAAAATGGACTTGAATGAGTCCTATAATATAATAAACATTGCCTATGTGGATGGAGGGAAAAGTGGAGTTCAACTTCATAATGTTTAATTTCTTATGAAAAATGTAAAGTGAAAATGTTAGTATTTATTTTTGGTGATAAGTACACAAATGCTTGTTTCATAATCATCTGTCCCCCCCCCCCCCCTTCTTTTAGTTAGTCCTTATCTGAGGGTATTTTCCATTGACTTTTAGGGAGAGTGGGAGAGAGGGACAGACAGACATCTAAGTGAGGGAAACACATGGTTGGTTGCCTCCTAGGGGAGCCCAGGACAGGGTCCCGCCCGGGGTGGACCCTTTGGTCCGCAGGCCGACGCTCTAGCCACTGAGCCAAACTGGCCAGGGCTCTGGCCCTTTTAGTAAAAGGTAAAAGTTTTGAAAATGAAAAATTGAAAACTTGATGGAGTTCAGTCATGGTGATTTAAAAAAGTGTATATGGTGAGTATAGAACAGAGCTCTTGCCGGTTTTATTTTAGTTTTTATGTCAATTTTTGAATTTGCGGTTGGGTGAGAATAAAGTGTTAGGAACTTCATCCAAGTGAAAGCTGTCATAACCGATGGTGGCAGAAGTCACGTTCCGGGGAAAGGGACCTGGCGCCGGGGTGTGTGTGTGTGTGTGTGTGTGTGTGTGTTGTTGTTGTGGGGGTGGGGGCCGGGGCTGCGTGCGGGGTGCGGGTGACGAAACCCGCGGTAAGCGCGGCGGCGCGGAGGATGCTGGGACGCGTGGGGCTTGGGGCGCTGTGGGGAGACGTGTTCTTGGCGTCGCCAGCGCCCTGCGAAGACGCGAGGCGCGAATCCCGGTGAGTCGCCTTCTGGGGACGTCTCCGACGCCAGGCTCAGTGCTGGGTCGGTTTCCGTCCTGAAAAGGGTGGGCGTGCCCCCCGTCGTGGAGGCGCGCGGGGACTCGTTCTCCGGTCCTGGGCGCGGGGACTGGCCCGTCCGCCCGTCCGCCCGTCCGTCCGGGTCCCGGAGCGTCCCCCCGCGGCCGGCCCGGGCCCGCGCCGGCGCTCCTTTCCCGCGGGTCTGCTGATGGCGAGCGGCCCGGGCACAGCCGGATCGCGCTCTCAGCTCCGGTGCTGCCCTGAGACCTGATGACGGTGTTCGGGAGACCCGCCAGTTGTTCAGGACGGGCATCACTTTTCCCTTTTGATTTTTTAAAAAAATATTTTTATTGATTTTAGAGAGGAGGGGAGAGGGAGAGAATCACTGATCGGCTGCCTCCTGCACGCCCCCCACTGGGCATCGACCCGCCACCCGGGCAGGTGCCCCGACCCAAACCAACCCGGGACCCTTCAGTCCGCAGGCCCGCGCTCTATCCACGGGGCAAAACCGGCCAGGGCCCTTTTTGGTTTTTACTTTACAAAATTTCCCATTACGGTGGACAGTCGAGATTATTTTGCACTGGCTGCAGGTGCACCGCAGGGCGGTGGCATGTGAAGTGGTCGCCGGCCCTTCCGGCGCCGATCCACCGCGGGGCTTGGTTCCTACCGCAGGGGGCTTTGCCTCTCCGTCAGCGCCATCGAGCCTTGATTTCGCTGATGCCGGTTCGCGTGTCTTTTTCCCTCTTGCAGCCGCGGGACCGGAAGCGCGGCCAGCGCGGAGGGGCGCAGTCGGCGTCGCCGCGGTCTGGGACGTCCCTCTCGGGTCCTGCGGCGCCTCGCGCAGTGAGGCAGTTTGTCCGCGTTCGGCCACCGTCGCCTCGGCGTGCGCTGCGTCG